TTTAAGGTTACATAAATAACCATGGAATTTTCATTGATATTCATAAAATATTCATAAATATATGCACATAAAATAATGAATAAACTCTTTTATTAAATAAATAATAAATATTCTATTACATCTCATGCTTCTAGGACACCATTCCCAACAATCTCCCACTTGTTCTAAAGCAGGTAGAATATGTCTCCAATCCTGAAACTTTCTAGGTATCTATGACTGTTCCATGCCTGGAACAACTTCCAGATCAGTTAAGAAATTTCTAGAGTCAGGTTGCTTTCTTTTGCTGCTTCACAAGCTGCTACACATTAACTCTTAATGATAGAATTAGCAATCACACTTTGCCAACAACTTTTCTTGTCATGACTCATTCACCTAGTGTGAACACATATTTGGATGTTGACTCTCAAAATCCATGTATGACTCATAGTCAAAGTCTATGTATCCCGCGAACGACAACTCTTTCACTAACTAAACTTATCTCATAGTTTCTTACTTTCCTCATACACTTAAGGATGCACTGCACTGCTACCCAATGATCGAATCTTGAGTTTAACTGACAACGACTGACTACTCCCACTGAACATCTGATATTCGGGCTTATAAAGAATAAGAACATATTCTCTTCTTTCATTTGAAACATCTTGGTTTTGATCAAATCCATAAGACTTAATAGCCTTATCAAACCGGATGTTCCATGATCTAGAAGCTTGCTTCAATCCATAAATGGATCTCTACATCTTGTAAACTTTCTGCTCTAGGTCATTCTCTATGTAACCCGCTGGCTGATCGATATAGATGGTTTCCTCAAGATAGCCATTCAGAAAAGCTTTCTTGACACCATATTTCATATTCAAAATATGTTGCTATGGCTAAGAGTATTCGGATGAACTTAAGCATGGCTACCGGTGAGAGAGTTTCCTCATAGTCAACTCACTCTTTCTAGGTGTAACCCTTAACCACTAGCATTGCTTTATAAGTATCTACTTTTCCATCTGCTCCTCTCTTTCTCTTGAAGATCTACTTGCATCCAATGGGTCTTACCCTTTCAGGTAGATCTACAAGTTGCCAGACTGAGTTAGAGTACATTGACTCTATCTCGAGTTTCATAGCTGCTTGCCACTTCTCAAAATCATCCATCGTAGCCTTTAAAGGTCAACGGATCCTCTTTATCATCATCAGCGGTGATGATAAGTGTTTCCTCAGTATACCGGTCAGGTAACTTGCTTACCCTCCCACTACGACGAGGTGCCATAGGAGTTTGATTAAGAATTGTGGTCATTCTTAGCGTTCTAACAACTCTTGTCGATTGTGGTCCAATCTTATTGGAAAGTAACTTTTCAGAACTACTTTGCTTCTAGGTTTGAAAACTATCATATAGTCATGCTCCAGAAACGTGGCATTTGTCAATACAAATACCTTTGATTCTTATGACTATATAAAATAATCATTATCTTGTCCCCATTGCATATCCCACAAACATGTATATTTATGATCTTGGTTCCAACTTTCCAGTCTATTGTTTCATCACATGAGCCGGACACCCCCCATATGCGAATATGCTTCAAAACTAGCTTTCGACCATTTCACAACTCTAAGGTGTGTTTGATATAGACTTAGATGGTACTAGATTTAGAATATACACAGTGGTTCTTAGGGCATAACCCAAAATGAAGTAGGAAGTGAAGAATAACTCAACATTGATCCTATCATGTCGAGCAAAGTCTGATTTCCCTTTTCGGCTACACCAGTTTACTGTGGTGTACCGGGTGCAGTCAATTGGGATACCACACCTTCTTCAATCAAGAAAACCTGAAACTCTTAGTCCATGTATTCACCCCCTCGATCTAATTGAAGTGTCTTGATTGGTTTACCTAACTGTTTTTCAACTTATGCTCAAAATTCTCTAAACTTTCTAAAAGTTTCAGATTTCCGTTGTATTAGGTAAACATAACCATATCTCAAATAATCATCAATAAAAGTAATGAAATATTTGTAACCTCCTTTATCTTGGATGTTTAACGGTCCACATACATCCGAATGTATTAGCTGAAGAG